GGCTGCTTTTAATGTTTCAGGAACCTTCTATCTTGTAGCTCCTCCTTCATTCTGAGTTTTCTTTTTGTAACCTGCAGTCTAGGAAGGAGATTGGAGGATCTTATGTGGGAAGTTTCCATGGGCCAGGTCTGGAAGTGGCTTATCTCACTTTTGTCCTCATTCCATAATTATAATCAGTGTGTGGCCCCACCTAACAGTAAAGGATGCTGAGAAATATGGCCTGTTTGCCCAGAAATTAAAAAAAGAAAAAAAGAAAAGGTTGGTGAGCATCTAGCCAGGTTGAACTACACAGGGTCTCAAAAAGCTGCCAAGATTCTGTCTGTTTTTGCTTCTCTCCTACCACGGCAGGGAGCATGGCTACTAATTGACTCTTGAATTCTAAATCTCACTCTTGTTAACTCCAGAGAAGAACTGACCTAAGTAGGAAATGTCAAAGAATAATGACTGGCTCCATTCAGATCATGTGACCATCCTGAGACAATCACTATTAACCAGAAGGACTGAGTGATTTAGCATAGATGTAGCCCATGGGAACCCCACTTGGACACAGTATTATAATTTTATTTATTTATTTTTATGTGGTGCTGAGGATTGAACCCAGTGCCTCACATGTGCTAGGCAAGCGCTCTCTATCACTGAGCCACAACTCTCGCCCTGGAGCCCCACTTGGACTGCTCATAGGCAAGGGAGAGGCATTGTGAGATACAGTTATCCCTTTTGCCACCCTCTAGACAGGTCTACCTCTCTGTTTCTCCTCTTAGGGAAAATATTACAGTTTTATAGTGATCTTTCCAACCTTCCTTGCCATAGGCACACCAGGTAATTGTATTTCATTGCATCTAGGATACTGTTCTTTTTAACATGTGCTACTATTTGATGCACCACTGACAAAGAAAGAGAAACTCAGGTTCCAAATAAACTATAACACAATGCTAAGATGCCATCAATTGTCATTTCCAAGCTACCAAAATGTAATGAAAAAAAAGTTTTGAGAATTGATGGAAATGACATTATTACTCCATAACAAAGATCTGAACTTTCATGCTTTGGTACTATTGCTCATTTTCTTTCTTTAGTCCATTCATTAATTCAAAAACCATTCATAGGCCAGGTAACAGTCACTAAGACAGAGTCAGGTTCTACTGCTTAACTCTTACTATCTCTCCCCTTTATGTCCTCACTATATTAGTCTGATTTTCATTAATGAAAACTTAATGAGGCATCTTACTTATGAAGAAAAAGATGTTTATTTAGCTCACAGTCTTGGGAGGCTGAATGTCCAAAGAGCTGATGGAAGTGGTGAGTGTGCTTGCTAAGTCAAAGAGCTGCCAGGGCTCAGGCTCTCATAACAACTGGTGCTCATAAGAACTCACTCTGGGAGACTAGTGATACCTTCTCAGGATAGCATCCCCTTTGTCCTCCTCCTAGGCCGCACCTCTTAAAGATCCACACCATCTCCCAACACCATCATCCAATGACTGAGTTTCCAATACACAGACCTTTGAGGAGACAGAATATCAAACCACAGCATTTAGTATCCCCTTTTTCCCTTTCCTCTGCTAGTATTATGAAGTGCAAACCGTGTCAGGCAGTTTGTTGGAAACTGAGGGCTCAAGAAAGAATACTCAAGGGACTTATAGCATGAAGTTGTAAGGGAAGTGGGATGTGGGGAGACAATCACACAAACAAGTGAGTAAATGAAGAGTTACAGGTCCTCTTGTCAAAGTCTACAGAGTACCATGGGCTCCTGAAATAGGGGAGTGGTCTATCCTACCTTGAAGAGTGAGAATGTTTGTTCCATGCTTATAGTTAAGATGATAGTACCCTACTTAAAGAGAACACAGTCATCTCTTTTAAGTATTAATATGTAGTTGTTTCCAAAGATACCTGATAATAATTACTAATTAGGCCACTGTGTTTTCCAGAGCTTATTTGAATCACCTCATACTTCCTATTAAACTTGACCTTCAAAAGGCACATGTGGGTCTCCTTTCTTGGTGCAAACATTAATGAGTAGTCTGAGATGACTTTTATAGAAACAAAGTGAGGAGATAATCAGATTTTATTATGGAGGTGGTCCTCATCTTAAATATTAATTGTATGCCTTAAAAAGGATTCCTTTTAACCATGTGATTGTTCTTTCAGGCCCAGTGGGTATGCTGGGTCACGTGCTCCAGCAGGCAGAAGAGCAGGGTCAGCCAAGAAGGGCTGTGTGCTGACTCAGGGTCATGCTGGATCCCAGCAGCAGAGATTACAGGAATGGAATTTGGAGAAAATGTGGGTGAGGCTGTTTGGGCCTGGGATCAGAGAATAGCTATGGCAGGACCCTGCCTCAGAGGGTCCCAAAGCTCAGAGAGTATGGAATTCTCATCTCTTAAGCAAGGATACCAGCTAAGGTTGAACCCATTTTTATTGGTTAAACTCACAAAGAAAATAACAAGATTCTGGGAAGCAGAGAGATTTGTTTGAGGTTCATAGGGAGGTCAGCAGAGAGAGCCAATGTCTTGTCTATTCTGGCAATGAGAAAAAGCTTACCTAATGAATCAGGGGAAAAAATCCAAAGTTAAACTATCCTCTTTTTTTTTTTCTGGTTTATTGAAGAGGCTGGAAATGAACTCTGAGATGTTGAGGATTTTTTTTTTTTAACTTTCTGGGCCAGTTTGTCCAGAGCAGGGTACTTGGCAGTGGTGGTAGTTGGGAAGTGGGTAAGGCATGTGCATCTACCTTATCCTTGGGCATAGGGGCCTTATGGAAAGAGGCAGGTTTCCCTTTAGTCCCCTGAGAAAGAGAGCTCTAAGGATCTTCTTTGGGGAAAAGGGCAAAGGGTAGAATCTGCCAATCAACTTTGTGATTTATAGGAAACAGCCTGAGTAGAGTATGTAGTTGGAGGTCACTGCACTTGTAGTAGGTAAAGCTTGATGGAAGCATGGGGAAGGCACCTGAGCCCTCTTCAGGACTTCTTGTGAGCATATAAAATGAGGAGGAGCAAAGGAAAAGGAAAGAAAACCATCCTTTGAAATCAGCAAAAGGCTTGTACTCAGCAATGATTTATCAGTGTACCAAGGAGGAACATTAAAAGAATAATTGCCAGCTGTTTATTTTGTAAAAATATGTGTAGTGTGAGTCAAGGCAGGGAGCTTTATTTTCTCTTTTACCTTGCTCTCCTATTAGTGTTAATAGGATCGTATATTCTAGACTTTGCTTGGCTTACTGTACTGACAAAAATAAATACCTTGTCTTAGTATTATATATTCTTAACAACAGGCAGAAAGAGAAACAATGTTATAAGCAAAATTGCCCTATGAGCTTTATTGTGGATAGGATTTCTTTCTCTTGTCCATGACTTTTAAGATAATCTGTTCTGATAATCTGTGTTTCTGATAGCTTCTTCTAGATACTTTATAATTTGCCCATAGGGTTTATTGAAGAGGCTGGAAAGAACTCTGAGATGTTCAGGGGATGGCTACAGGTATTTTTTATTTGGTGAAACAGGTGTGTCCTGATCTTGGTTATCTGAGCTCGGGTCATGTCATCCAGAGGCCCAGTATATCATCACTGTGGCATCCATCCTGAGGGCATTTATTAGGTGAGCATTTGATAAATATTGACCCAACTTACTGTCTTGGTGGAGAATTTAGTTCTTAGGGTTGGTTCTGCAAATCCATTTATTCAATTAAACAAATAGCAGTTGAGCGCCTGTTGTGTCTGGGGTATTGTTTCTGACTTGGAAATACTAATGTGTGGAAAGGTAGAATCAGACTGTGATTCAAGGAAACCCAGCAGAATTAGAATGGTAAAATGCCAGGCTTTGATAGGACCATAGAGATAATAGAATCTAGAGATCAATAAACTTTTTCTGAAAAATGCCAGAAAATAAATATATTAGGCTTTGGAGGCTACATATTGTCTCTGATGGATACTATGCTTTGTCTTTATAACCATTTAAGCAGAGGTGGAGGCATAGGCTGAATTTGGCCATGAGCCACAGTTTGCCAACCCTTGATTTATTAGATTCCACTCATTTTACCAACAAGGAAACTGAAGGCCAAAGAGGGAAATGACCCCATCCCCCCAGGTCACACAATTAGTCCTGACATAGCTGGATTGATGACCCTTAGTAAAGGATCCTAAGTCCAGAACCACAGCTCAAAATAAGTAGGCACTTTGCAAATGTATAGTTTTGGTCCACAGGGATATGAATCTTAGTCAATTGTTACATTATTGGTATCGACCACATTCCAGGTACTCTGTTGAGGACTGAGGATGCAAAATTCAGTACAATAGGGTCCAGTTCTCAATCAGCTTTAATGCAGGCTGATAAGATGGCAATGTGGAAAGTGTCATGTAGAGACAAACAGTGGATACATTAAAAGAACAGGAAGGCACTGCTACCTGAGGAGGTGGACCCTTCAGTGGCTGCATGAAGGAATCCATTCATTCATTGTACTCTCCCCACTTATGTTTTGGAAGCCACTGCCCAACCTAAACTAGAGGGACAGGTACCAAGCTTCACCTGCAATTGCTTGTTTCTTTTCTTGGGGACTAATAGCCTGCATACATCCCATATATACATGGATAGGTAGATGTTGAGAGCCACAGCCAAAGGGGCCCCAGCAAACTTCCAGCTGCCAGCAAACTTCCAGCTGCTGGCTGATGATTGGCTCACAGCGGCCCCAGAAACATCTAGCTGATTGGCTCCTCTGTGGTGATGGTCATTGGGCTGTTTCCCTGCCCTTTCAGATCATGGAGCTGCTCATTGGGGGACTTCTTTGGCTCTGCCCACGCGACCGAGCCAATCGGCCTCAAGAGCAGGAGGATTGTGGGAGGTGGAGAGGCTGGTGTGGGGGTGAGAGGCTTGTGGGAAGCCGATGGTGGCAGTTGGGCTCTGAGGGTTTTTTCCTGAGGAGCTGTTTTGTTTGGCGTTTTTAGTTCTAAAAATAAAGTTAGTTTCTTTTGACAAGTGGATCCTGAATTGTGCCCAGCCAGACTGCGGCATTTGGTGGCCCGTACGGGGATCGAACCCGCGACCTTGGGATTAAGAGTCTCATGCTCTACCAACTGAGCTAGCCGGCCATGCACCGAGAAACAGCCCAGTGACCATCACCGCAGAGGAGCCAATCAGCTAGATGTTGCTGGGGCCGCTGTGAGCCAATCATCAGCCAGCAGCTGGAAGTTTGCTGGCAGCTGGAAGTTTGCTGGGGCCCCTTTGGCTGTGGCTCTTAACAGGTAATAGGATTTAAGGAACCAAAATGAGAAAGATTCAGGCAGCCACCAGAGAAAGATGGTTTGTTTGGCAGTAGATTTGTAGCACAAGTTTATCTGAGCAGTGACATTGAGACACATATGGAACCATACAAGATTGATCATAGACCCTTTTAATATTGTAGGACTTGAGAGAATTTTAGGATCACTAAGCTATAACCTGTGGTTAAACAGATAAAAAGCATGAGACTTAGAGATATTAATTTATTAACTCTGGGTTATGCAGCCACTTTATAGAATCTCAGAGTTGATTCTAGATTTTAAAAAGGTATATAGTAGTAGGTGAGTGTAGTGGAGCATGCCTGTAATCCCAGTGGCTCTGGAGGCTGAGGAAGGAGGATCACGAGTTCAAAGCCAGCCTCAGCAACAGTGAGAGACTAAGCAACACAGTAGACCTTTATCTCTAAATAAAATACAAATAGGACTGGGGCTCTGGCTCAGTGGTTGAGTGCCCCCAAGTTCAATCCCCAGTCCCTTCCCCACCAAAAAGGAAAAAAGTACATGGTATAACTACCTAGATAATAATAAAGATAAATAATCACAGCTAACATTTATCTAAAGCTTAGTATGATATATATAGTAACATTATCTCATTTAAGTCTGATGATACCTCCATGTATCCCCATTTTATAGCTGGGGAAAGTAAGCTTGGATAGATTAAGTAAAATTTGTTCAAGGCCATCCATCCAGTTAGTGGTAGAGTCAGGATTCAGGCCCAGGCTCAAGTGCTTAACCATGTACCTGTTTGTAACCCTTTATTCCAACTTGGCTAAGTGCTTAGACGGTGCTTTTCCATTAGTTTGTGAGTGACTTGTGGGCTAGGGCTGTGTCCCCATTACCTGTTTCCTCATTCTGGGCCTGGCATTGTAAAATTTGCCCGTAAGTGTTTGTAGAATGAAAAAAAAAAATGAACCAATAAGTGTCTAATTCTCTAAACAGTTGATACTCCTGATGCCCAGTGCATGGGAACTCAGTGACTGAGCCAGACCCATGTTTAAGTCCACTGATGTCTAATCCTCTTACAAGACAGAATGGCTCGTGTGTAGATGTGGGCCAGGAAAGTCTACTGCTCTGCAGATTTTTTTTTTTTAACCATGTCTATCAATACTTTGAGACTTAATAGACAGTAGAATTCTCTTTGAACATCAAAGTTTCCTTGAAGACATGACAGCCTGGTTGGTTTCTCTGAATTTGTTGAAATTAAGGTAGGCAACTGGAAGGTTCTCTCTGCATGTGGTAAACTTCTTCCTTTTGCATAGCCATTTTAAGATTGTGGTTTCAAACTATATCCTGATGCATCCTGGAGTTGTGAGGCAGAGAACTGAGGAATTCCTTAAGAAATCAGGAATGGGTTTGGCTTCAAGTCAAATAATGCCTGAAACAATTGTCCTTGCTGCATTCATGTTTTAGTTCTGACAAATGAAAACAAGCAGCTCATAAAATGTATAGTATCTTGCCACATTTTCTTCCCTTTCTTTTGTAAGTTGAATGTTTTTCTCACCTGACAATAGTAATGCATAGGATTGCTCCACTGGAGATTTTTGAAGTAAAACACTTTGAAAAACAGATTTATAGAGATTGTTCTTAAAAAAAAAAAAAATCTGTGCGTAGGTTACAGTTTTTTTTTTTTTTTTTTTTGTATAAAGAATGGTGTGGGCTTTGTTCGCCATTCATTGTAAGCAGAGATTCTCTATATGGCATAATAAAACCAAGAAGCTTGAATTTTAGTTCAGAAAGTTGTATCCTTTGAATCTAGGCCCCTGAGTTTGTTCATATAAGTCAATAGACAGCATTGATAATTGCTTCATATTATTTGCGGGGGGAATCCAAGTTATATGAAGAAGGCTTTCATTAGGCTGTGAAAAAAACAGATTTAGGTTGTATTGGTAAGATTCTCTAGGGATTTTCAAGGGGAAGAGATGTAATACAAGATACTCTTCTCATTTGTAGGCCATTGAGAAATCCCTTAAATAGAGGAACATGAATATTTGTTTTCTAACAGAACAGTTCAAAGAGCTACCCATGTTTCTTGTCAAAGCTTTTTTCTTTTCATGTTTCATTCAACTTTACACATTTTTTTCTGATTATGTCAAGAAGAAAATTTCACTTAGTGATTGCTTGCTATTATTACCTACCTTTAAAAACTCCTTTATTATTAATGAGTTTTTCTCATGACTGTATCAGGGTATATTCCTGGTGTACTGCAGTTTTTATCTGCTACCCTTCCCCCTCAGTAGCAGTAGTTCATTGCCTCCAGTAAGAAGGTGAAGGCTGGCAGGAAAGGATAAGAAGGGTCTGTTTACTACCTGGTGACATCCTCTGGTAAATATCAGGTAAATATTCTGTATCACCATGTTCTGCAAAGAGGCATATGTTTTTTCCTATCTTTTCATTTTGAAAAATTTCAAACAGATGAGTACAAAGAACATTCAAAAACCCTTTACTTAGATTTACTGATTGTCAGCATTTCACCACATTTGCTTTGTCTTTAGAGAAAGATAAGTGCATATTCACATTTTGGAGGGGGAACATCAGGATACTCTCATCTCTTTTGTCTTCTACATCACCATGATACCATTACCGTGCTCTAGGAATTTAACATTGATTCTGTGATATTGTCAAATGCACAGTCTATGTTTGAAATTTTCTGTGTTTGAAATTTTATCTCTGATCGTCTAATTATTGCTGTGTAAAAAGCCATGCCCAAATTTAGTAGCTTAAAACAACCTCCACTTATTAATGCTCTTCAGTGGGTCATTTGGGTGTTTCTTCTAAGATGGCTCAGGATCAATTGGTTGGCTAGGGTTCCTCATATATCTACAGTCAGTGCTGGATCAAGTAGGGGCTGGCTGGTGTCTGTTGGCCTCAGTTCAGATGGCTCATGTTTGCTCCAGAGGTCTCCATCCTCTAGCAGGCTGGACCAGGCTTGTTCCCATGGCTTGCATGCAGGTTCCAAGAGAGAGCGAGCAGAAGGCCTTTTGAGGCCTAGACTTGGAACTGGCCTCACTTATATAGTAGTCTTTTAGCAAAGCAAGTCACAAGTTCCTCTTAATGGGAGGAGCTAAAAAGTCATATTGCTGAGGGGCATGGATACAAGAGCATGAATAACTGAAGCCATTTTTGCAAATAACCTGTCATATCCCTATTCTCCAAATAATAATAATGTTAATAATATAACTGTTGGTATGTTTTACTCCCAGAATGCAATTAAGGATTATACATTAAATCTAGTTATTATCTATCTTTACTCTTTTTTTCCTTTATTCTCTTTAAATCTCTTAAGTGTCTATAAGGAGTTTTTTTTGTGTGTGTGCATGTGTGTGTTTTATGATATTTAAAAATTTATAAGCCCAGTTTCTTAATATCTCACAGTCCGAATTTGTCTATTTCTCCATGATTGTATGCAGGTAAAACTTTTGGGCAAAATGTTGTGTATTTTTTATTGCATCACAAGAGGAGGCATATATTATTATTACTAGTCCAGATTATTGGTGACAGTAAGTGTATTATTTCCTGGAGATAGATTTAAGTCTGGACATTTGGTGTTAACATTTTTACTATTACATGAATATATATTCATTAGATACCTACTACTTATCTAGATATCTCATTTAGTATTATAGAGAATCTGCAAGAATGGTAATGAATGTTGCCTGACTGAAGGAACATATAGTTTTCTTGAGTTATTCTTTTAAATGCTAAACAAATAGTAGAGGAATGGTAATTCTAAGTTTAATGATTGATTTATAAATACTTTTCATTGAAATATAATATACATACAGAAAACTGCACATATCATGTGTATAGCTTGATGAAGTTTTCAAATAACATCATCAGTATAACCAGCACCAGGTTAAGAAACTCACTATAACTGATATCTCAGTAAGCCTGGATTTGAACTGTACAGAACTTAAATCCAAATAACTATTGTTCTTTTCAATGCCAATTTATGAATGATCTAAGAGAATCAATATCATTTTAAGCTAAAAATAGTGTTATCCCGCTTGATCACTCTTTGTATTTTTAAGAATTTTTTTTAGTTGTAGATGGATGAAAATACCTTTATTTTATTTATTTATTTTTTTATGTGGTGTTGAAGATTGAACCCAGTGCCTCATATGTATTAGGCAAGTGCTCTACCACTGAGCTAGAACCCTAGCCCAATATCTTTGTATTTATCAAGTTTGATTTAGAATAATTTTTTACAATGTCCATATGTCAGAGTCTCTCCTCTTTTATTGCTGTCTCAGAGCAGAAGGTGACTTCTACTTTCCTTATGCATTCTGTCTTGTGTCTCTCCACTTCCTGGGGTCTGGCCTCCTATTTCTTTCTGGTATCTTTTCCACCTGTCTTCTGTCTTCAGCTTTTCCTCTTCTTTTGGTTCCTGCTCCTTACCTTATACATTTACCCACAATCCTTTTGCTTCTCATCAGGCTATTATTTTTTCCCTCTCCTTCCTTTTATTACCAAACTTAAATCTTGCCTCATCTTCCTCTTTAATCCATCCATCTAATTGCCCTTTGAAACTTGGTTTCTTTCCCCCCACCCCCAATTCTAGTGACAGCCATTAGCAAGCTCCTATTTACTAAGACTATTATTTTATTCAGCTTTTGTCCTCTTAGATTTCTGTTCCCTTTGGAAATCTTACTGTATTGGTCAGCTTTTTACCACTATAACAGAATACCTTATCACTTAACAAAAATCAGCCTGTAAAGACAGGAGGTTTATTTTGGCTCACTCTTGTGGATATTCTGTTCATGATTGATTGGACTCATTGCTTTTGGGTCTGTGGCAAAGCAGCATATCACGGA